GAATTTCTCAAATGGTGAATCATATTCACCACCTCTATCACTTCTTATGGCCTTAATCTTTTTGCTAAGTTGATTTTCAACTTCTAACTTGTAGTGTTTAAACACTTTAATTGCTTCGTCTTTGCTTTTGAGCAAATACACATAGGAATATCGAGTACAATCATTGATAAAAGTGATAAAGTACTTATTACCTCCCTAGTTTGAACAAATTTTAAATCACATATGTCGGTGTGAATTAAATCTAGGGGTTCGGTACTTCTTTCAACAGAACGAAATGGTAGACGTGACATTTTGGCTTCTACACATATATCGCATTTGTGATTAGGATTTAAATCACACTTTGGTAATAAATCTAATTTGATTAGTCTACGCAAAGTGTTATAATTTGTATGTACTAATCGTTAATGCCAAATGTTAAATGACTCAAGCAAGTAAGAAGAAGTTGTATTCTTATTCATAATTGGAGGTACAACAGCCTTGTCCTACAAACATTTCATTCTTTGAGAGTACAAATTTGTCCGAGACAAATACTAGTTTAAACCCGTTCTTACTTAGTAGAGAACCAGATACCAAGTTTTTCCTAATAACGGGCACATGAAGAACATCATTCAGAGTGAGCTCTTTTCCACTTGTCATTTTCAGCACTATCTTCCCATGTCCTTCTACCTTGGAAGATGACGAGTTTCCCATGTAGAGATGTTCATCATGATCCATTGCTTTGTAGGTAGAGAACATCCCGCGGTTTGAGCATATGTGACGAGGAGCTCCAGTATCTACCCACCATTCCTTAGTGTTTCCAATTAAGTTGCATTCAGAGACGACCGCAGAAAGATTCATGTCTTGTTCCTTATCAGTGAGGTTCTCATGTTCTGTTACATTGGCCTGGTTAGTTTTTCCCTTCACATTTTTTGGCTTTCGACAATCCTTGGATCGATGTCCTGCCTTGCCACAATTGTAACAGTTGCCTTTAAACTTTTTAGCAGTTTTTGAAGAACCAATTTGTCATTCCCCATTGTGCTTCCTCTTTTTGCTAGTCTTGAAGCCTCCTTCTACAATGTTGGCTTTTGATTCCATCGAATTAGAAGCACCATTCCTTTTTTCAGTTTTGCGATTGTCTTCTTCTATTCTCAATCGGACAATGATATCTTCAAGTTTTATTTCCTTCCGCTCGTGCTTTAGGTAATTCTTGAAATCCTTCCATGAAGGTGGTAATTTCTTAATTAGTGCAGCGACTTGGAATGATTCACTTAGTTTCATTCTTTCGGCATGAATGTCACTAAGTATAATCTGAAGTTCTTGAACTTGGGATATGACAGTCTTGTTGTCAACCATTTTATAATCCAAAAAACGATCGACAATGAATTTCTTCGTGCCGACATCTTCGATTTTGTACTTTGTGTCTAAAGATTCCCACAGTTCTTTTGCGGACTTAGCATTGTAGTACACATTATATAATGTGTTATTCAGTCCATTAATTGCATAATTTCAGCATAAGAAATCAGAATGCTTCTATGCATCAACCGCAGCCAATTTTTCAATATCACTGTCTTGCTCGGTATATGAAGGCGCGTATTCTTTGAGAAATTTTGCCAGATTTAACGTCGTAAGATTAAAAAACATTTTTTGTTGCCAACGCTTGAAATCTGACCCATTAAACTTTTCTGGTTTTTCCTCGGTCGTATTCGGGAGTGTGGTACTAGAAGTTGCCATTTCTGAAACACAATCAGAAGATCAACGGTAAGAAGGAGTAGAAACAGAAACAAAATAATAATAGGAAAAAATTCGTTTTAAGATTGTTGTTTCTGGAGTTTGAAGTTACTCATTTGAAAACAATCCGACAGAATCACCTGAATGTAAGAGTTGATCAACAGGATCCAGAATTGTAATTCAAGCCCACCGACTTCACGATGTTTCCTTAAAACGAATCTGCTGCCTTTAATGGTGCTAAAGGCGTCCAGCAATCGTTTTCCAGGATAGAACGAATTTTCGTCTCCTACGGAAGCAGCACTGCAACCTGCAAGAGTTCCAACGAACTCAACGAAGTGTGTTTTACTTCGAGATAATATCAGAACGAGAGAGAGGGAAATGAGATTCAAAACACAGAAAGTTTGCAATGAAAATGGTGTAAATTTTCTGGTAGAGAGGCTGACTATTTATAGACTTGTTCGTGGCCATTCGAACAGTCATCATCTTTCAGACGAGCCTAAAAAATTCGAACAGACATGCTGTTCTTAAAAGTCGTGTCTGTTAAATCGATTAACAGTCGGCTAACAGTCGACTGTTTGGTCGGTAAACAGTCGACTGTTAAAAGAAAATAAAACACCCGGAATAAGCCAAAATTTAAATTTCATATTGTACCCAAGAATTTGATTATTTACAATTTGGCCCAAAATTTTAAATAAATTTTGTCAAAAAAGTTAATATAGTGTAAAGGTCCACCCGCACCCGCACCGGATCGGACTCGGACACGGGCACGTGTGGGTTTATGATCGAACCCAATAGGATATAGGTCTTCCCCCTTCCAAAAACTATTGGTACCCCTTGAGGCCCAAACCTAATTCCAAACTTCCACCTTATAAACCACACTAAAGTTTCCTAACTTTCCTATGTGGGATAAGTGTTTGGAAAATCAAATTCTTCCATAATCCTTAGTTTATGTGGGTTACTTTAACACTTAATATTTCATTCAATTTTAAATGATTTTCGATAAATAAATATATCACGTTAATCATCTCGCGGAGTATAACGTGAATATGCTAGGTTCCGTATTAATTAAAAGGTGGGTCCCACTAAAATTTGGGCTCAAAGTTGACCCATTTCATAACCATTTTTCCAACATATTTTTCATGAAGAAAATATGATCACGTAATCAAAAGTGAGAAAATATTTTTCATGAAAAAAAGGGCAATCAAACATCACAAAAGTAGGAATTTGGGTGAAAAAAATACATTTTCCATGGAAAATGTAGGCAATCAAACGCACTATTAAATAAACTGAAGGTACAAATCTTCGATTTGTTCGGCGACTTGGTCAAGATCCCCACCGACGTACCTCACTTCACTGCTGTTCAATCCTGATTCTTTCTCGTGCTACATTTTCAATAGATTGGGGACCCCGTCGGCAATTTCTGCTGCAGAGACTTGTAACAAGTGGAAATGGTTCTTAATTTTTACTAGAGAAAATTGCAGCAATGATTCTCTTTGTGTCATCTAAATTCTGTGGTTAATTTACCAAAGCAATAGAGTTGTAGTTTAGACTTTCAATTGCTCATTAAATTTTAAAATGTCGAGATTTGGCCAATAACTTATCCAAATTTGGAACGTTACTTATTGACTTAACTTTCGTTTTTAATCTCTAATAGAAGTAGTACCATGGTTGACGAAATGTCTAGGTTGCGTCACGTTGCCATTACCAAGTAAAAAAAGGTATTTCATTGCTCACTATACTAGTATAGAAAAATGTCTTTAATTGTTCACTGTACTTTAAAAAATGTCTTCGATTACTCACTGAACTTTGAACATGGTTGAATTTTGGTCGCTGACTCCATTTTCATAAGTTTAGTGAACAAAACTCAATCATTTAAAAAATTTAGTGAGCAATCGAAAATATTTTTCAAAGTATGGTAAGCAATCGATTTTTTTCTTTTCTTTTTTAAGTATATTGAGTAATGAAAGACTATTTTACGTGATAACGATTGATGTGGCGCTATCTAAACATTCCGTCAACCATGTCACCACTTCCACTAGAGGATAAACGATAGTCAAGTTAATGCGTAACGTCTGATGTTTGTATAAGTTCAATGGTCAAATCTTGACATTTTTAACTTTAATGAGTAATCAAAGACATGTATATAAGATCAACGATTATTTAGACAATTAAGTACATATCCAAATACAAATTAAAATAGGAGATGGTTGAATCATCGATAAAACACTCATCACGTGTGTTGTTAAATTAAGTAAGAGTGCCTAGTGTAATTAATTATTTCTAAAACTCATGAGGTCATTTCACTCCGAATGGTTACTGGACAAACAGGACTGGGAAGCTCAACCACACCCGTTGAAGAATTCAACCTAACGTTATAGTGCTTAACTAGGTCTACAGTACAAGCGTCGTCGAAGTGCATGCAATCACCTTGACACCTCCCAACACAATTTCTCGAAGATGTTAAGCTCGATAACAATGTATAACATTGACATATTCCACATTATAGTGGGATGTGCTTAACGCTGTAACACACGGATAATTTTATAATGGCGAAGTAAGAGATTTAGTGTTAAATATCTACCTCCAATTAATTGAGTAGATGATTGTTGTGTCATGTCCTTATTCTAATGCTTAACAACCATTGTCGCTATTTCTTAGTTATTATTGTACAAGCACTAAATAGAAATGAGTGATAAATAAGTAAATAGTATATGTGAATTCATTTAAAAAATGCAATTAAAAATGAAAACCATTTATAAAATTTGCAGGATTAATATATAACACAACGAACTCAACAAGCACATCCAATGAATATCCGGGCATAGAAGCTAAGCTCCTACAACATTTATTAGCACTTGTTTGATTTTAATTATTTGAAAAGTTATTACTCGATTTTTTTTAAATTTTATTTTGGGAACACATAGTTAAAAAGTATGAGAAATTTTGAAAAAAATATAAAATATGAACTATAAGTTATATTGGAACGTATGATTAGAAAAGGCATAGAAAAAAGTGATTATCAAAAAAATCAAAACCAAGTAAGCTTCGTCTCAGTAGCTCACTTTTGTGTTTGTTTTTCTTCCCTAATTATAATAGAAAAATACTGAACTTTATCAAAATCTATGCACATTTTTTGTCGAGAATTATTCAGTTTGTACGGAAAAGAGAGTAAAGAAGTAGTGCAAGAGGAGGAGTTGGAGGAAAATCGTTTGTGGAAAATATTTTAAATTATTCAATAATAGAATACATTTCCAAGTTAGCGATTTCACTCAAAATAAGGGAGCCTTGTGGTTGCGGGGTTTACATGTAGTTTGACCGGGGTCCAACCTCCAAGCCAAAGAATGGCTCTCTCCAACCCCTCTCTCTTATCTTCTTCTTGCTCTGTTTACAGACTCAATCCACTACTCTTTTCATCCGAACGCCGTCGTTGCATCACTCTTTCCCACTCGCATTTCGTCCGTCTCACTCGCAGGTTCTTCTCTGCTACCGGTAAGCAAGCAACCTTATGTAAAACTCCAAAAGGTTATCTTTTATCGCTTATCTATTATCGCTGAATATTTTGATCGTTACTGTAATTTCAGTGGCTGCAGCTAATAGTAGTGTATTCACTTCGCCAGAAGTAGCAAAGTCGTTTGATTTTACAACTGAAGAACGGATTTATAAATGGTAATTTCATTTTAGGAAGCCAGTTGCGTATTCATTTTAAATCGTTTCTTTTTGTTTATGATCGAATTTCTGATAACACCATAGCATGCGAATTCAGAAAGTAAACCTTCAAAGAGCAATGTAGTATATAAAATTTTGTGGTTTGGCAAGATAGGATGAAATATGGGTTTAACCTTGACTGACCGTAATACGAACAGTGCTGTAGTCTAGCATTCTAATTTACACTGGAAAAAATGGTTCTTCAATGTGAAAAGTTCAAGCCTTAGTTTATTATCTGTGAATATGATGTTTTAACGAGCAAATACTATGGATGTTAGGTGGGAGTCTGAAGGGTATTTCAAACCAAACTATGACACAGGAAGTGATCCATTCGTAATTTCAATGCCACCGCCTAATGTTACAGGTTCATTGCATATGGGGCATGCTATGTTTGTAACTCTTGAGGTTGGACAATATTGTAGTTTCTTAACATTTTTTTTTTGAAGTTGAAATTTTTTTGTCTTTTTTGCAACTTTATATATAGCCCTTTCTAATCTCTTTTTCATAGATTATGATTTTAAATACTTCTTAGGGTTGTAAGACATATGTCCATTATGTTTTTGAGTCTCTTTCATGAAAACTGAAGTCATGTAATGTTTTAAATTCTCCGTATGCATTGTATAAATATAGGTTATAATTGGTCTCTGGGATTAGTTTATAGTAGACAAACTACATATTCTTATCGTAAAGCAACGAAGTAAACTTTATTTCCAATAAAAACTTAGTTCCGTCACACTAATCTTTTTCCATGAACACTCGACGAATTAATATTTTGTAATCACAGTAACGACCAGTATACCTCTTCCTCTTCTAATCTGTTCTAATAGAACTGCAGAATCACTTCAAATGAGAGCTTCTTTAGGTTTGCCAGTATGTGCTCCAAACACTTAGGCTTTCTTTCTTTAATTTTATTGTGCCACTCATATCTTACTTTGTGCACTCTAGTATGGCTACACATCTATGTCAGTATGCTTATTTCTGCAATGCTTATTTATCTTCAAATCCCCCAACAACCGGTGAAATTTGATAGTTTAATCCCTCACCTTCTAGGTTTAGATACTTAACACTTCTATCTTTAATAGATTTTGCCCTTGTTTGGGCTCAACTTTAATAAAATTTTGGGAAAAATGTATTTTGGATTAGTGATTTTTTGGAGAATGTGTGGTTAAGAAAGAAGAAAAAGTTTTGGGTTTACATGTAATCTCATTTTATTGAAGAATGTGTTGTTGAAAAGAAGAAAGTGAAAAATGTATTAAAATTAAATGGAGCCCAAACAAGGGCTTTGATGGATCTTAAACACCCACACTTTACCTTCCATTAAATAATTTATCAAATAAATACTCAAATCTTTTTGTGATCTCATCACTATAAACAGATCCCTTTCAAGGGAGATGGAAATTTTTCTAATGGTTCTTCTATGGAGAAAACTAATAGAATATGTACCTTCTCTTGTCAGCTTAGTTATGAATGGTTCGGTCTGACCTTTTTGTAAGATTGATTCCTTTATTCTTAAATTATCGTTCTAATTATGAATTCAAATCAGGGATTAATTAAAACTAAAAGTAATTTAAATCAAGATGGTATAATATTAGCAAAAGTTGAATAGTGTATGGAATTTTAAATAGTGATATGTCCAAGTCGTTTAAATTCTGTGGTTTACATTTGCAGGATATTATGGTGAGATACCATCGTATGAAGGGAAGACCAACACTTTGGCTTCCTGGAACAGATCATGCTGGTATTGCTACCCAGGTTTTTGCTAGTTCTGAAAGCTATAAGTTGTTGTATGTTTTGCTGTTTCTGGTTCCGTTCATTAGATATTGTTTAATCAATTTCTTGTGTGGTTATAGATTTTACTCTAAATTTGGTACATGAAACCAAATAATATTACTTAATCATGTAATTTGATTTAATCATGTAATTTGATTGCCTTTATAACATGTATGGTGAAGGACTGATTTGCAAGTTACAGTTTTTGGTTATTTAGGAGGATCCCACTTTTATGTAAAACAATTGCAGGGTCTTGTGCTTCTGAACCACAATCCTTGATGCTTTGGCCTCCTTTCAAATGCTTATTATTTATGATATAGTTGTGATACATGTGATTTATTCTTTTCACTAGCTTTTGCTTGTTATGATTGGAAGAGCCTATTATTTATTCATTTTTTGGTCTGATCTGAACTTCCCTTTCTCTCAGCTGGTTGTGGAAAGAATGCTGGAGGTGGAAGGAATAAAAAGGGTTGATTTGGGTAGAGAAGAATTTACAAAGAGAGTATGGGAATGGAAAGAGAAGTATATTTATTCATCCTGCTTCTTCCTCATACTCTTATGCATTTTTCTCTACTATTTACCTCATCCATGCATCAAATTATCAACTCTTGTGCCATTTTCTGGCCATTAGCTATGAATTTTATGCAAGACATCTACCAATTATCTTTTTGAATCACGTGAAGTGGTTCTTCTTTCTGAAAGTATGGTTCAAATTTAATTGATTGTTATTCCATCTGGTATGATTGCTGTTAATGGAAGTTTTTTAAGAACCCGTTAAAATGCTTAGAGGTAAATACCAAATATCAGTTTAGATTAAAGAGAAAAATGTTGGAGTCTGAAGAGACTTAACGTAGTTCACAATAAGGTACCGTAATGGAAATCAAAAAAATGTTATTGTCATAGAAGAATCAGTTGTTGTTGTTGTCGTCTTCAAATTTCTTCACTTTTATGTTTCCTTCTTTTTTCCTTCAAGGAAGGGGTATTATAACGGAAACTAATCTGGTAAAAAATGGTGCCCTTTTCTCTTATCTCCATCCAATATTTTTTATTTTCTGTGAATGGATCCTTATTCAGCCTATTATTTTCAGGTATGGGGGAACCATTACAAATCAAATCAGGAGACTTGGTGCTTCTTGTGATTGGACCCGAGAACATTTTACCCTAGATGCTCAGCTGAGTCGTAAGACAGTTTTTTTCCAGTAAATCTTCTAACATCTATGAGTGCTGTATAATATTCAAGATTATGTGGAAATATCAGTGCCTGGTATACTTCGTAATATTGTGCCAAGTTTGTCGAGTTATCTAGTTTCTATAATTTCTGTTGTGGGGTTGCTTTTCTTATTTTCATTTTAACAGTTATTTAAGACTTTTGTTCTGCTTGTCAAATGCTAATGGGTTATTATTATTTATTTTTAATAATTAAGCAGAGTGAAATTTATTTTACTACATCAAATGTTTTACTTTGTTCTTGATTTTATTTTATCCACTTTTGCAGGAGCGGTAGTTGAAGCCTTTGTTAGGCTTCATGAAAAGGGCCTTATCTACCAAGGTATGCTCTAATTCTGCTTAACAATTTCATAGGTGCTAATCAGAAATTGTCTGATGCACGTTTTAGACTTTTGAGGGGAACAATATTTTAATTTTTCTCATGGAATTATTTGATTATCAAAACTGATCCTCTCAATCCAGATGCATCAAGTGATGGTCCTCATAGAACACTTTTGTCAACCCTTTACTTTTCGTGTCTAAAGTTAATATGGTTTAAGTTGATACAGGAAGAAAGATGATCATAAATAAAGAAATACGTCAATCTTCTTTCAAATATTTAGAGTCCGTTTGGTAGCCATTTTCTTTAAAATGCATTTTTCTCTCTCTGCTTTTCAACTACACATTCTTTATTAAAATAATATTACACGTAAATCAAAAATTTTTCCTTATTTTTCAACCACACATTTCACTATTCCAAAATGACATAAAAATGCCTATCAAACACCCCTTTAAATAACAACATAGGTTGTTAATTAGTTGTCGTCGTCTTATTTTTTATTTTTTATTTTTAATTCTCCTTTGGATTTTATGTTGAGCTAATGTTAATTAGTTTTTTTCTTGATCAAAACTTTTCACTCGGTGTAGAAAAATAGAGTGAGAAAGTTGCTTTTATAATGACTACTTCAACTGAGTTTTTTTTATTCCCCCAATGTATTGAAATGATAAAGCAACAAATATTCTATTGCAGGCTCTTACATGGTGAACTGGTCACCAAATTTGCAGACTGCAGTTTCTGACTTGGTAAGTGAAGTGGAACTAGGTCACATTACTTCTGCTGTTTGTGCTTAAATCTTCTCTTTGGAGATTGATTTCTTCCTGTCTTTAGGAAGTAGAATACTCTGAGGAACCTGGTGCTTTATATTATATCAAGTATCGTGTTGCTGGTGGCTCGAGGTATTATCGCACATTTTTTTTAAACCTCAATTTTAATGAACTTCTAATTGATGTTGATCATTGAAGTATTTACTTGCAGGATGCTTTCATGTGGTAATGAATTATAATATATATATATTTTTTCCAACCTATATTGCTGATTTGTCTAAAGCTTAGCTTGTGGCATTGTCTCATCTCTTACATCTTGCTATTTCTTTGTTGGTTTCTTTCTTTCATATTCTATTAATCATAAATAGGTTCTCTAAGTGTACCACTCTCTTGGTCGTGAGAGTATCAATCTTCTATTTATCGTATCCTATTGTTTCTATAAGTTCAACTTTCTCATTTTATGCCAATTCACCATTTTGAAAACTATCAAGCTAGTCCCTAGATATTTAATATTACCAACTTGGTAGCTGGTGATTGATTTTGACATGCTTTCTTCATGCGGACTCTTTTATTTTCAATAATGAATAAGATCACATTAAAAAATTAAGTGATATGCTAATTTTGTCTTTGTTTATTCTGTTACAACATTAAGAGTTCGTTTGATTGTAAAGATGGAATTTGGGTGGAAAGAAAATGAATTCCAGGAAATTGAATTGCCTAAAATTTTTTTTACTGGGAATTGTCTATTATTGTGTTTGATTGGTAAAATTTTTCACGTGAAAAATGTAGAAATAAAAGTATTTTTTGGTGTTCGTTTGGCTTTATTTTACATGAAAATTGTCAATTAAAGGGATAACATTTACTGGTTTTGGGGATAGAATTTGTTTCCATTGCAAAAAAAAAGTAAAGAAAATTATCTATCTTTTGGTGTTCATTTGACTTTATTTTACATGAAAATTGTCAATTAAAAGAATTTTTTTTTTTACAGTTAGGGATAGAATTTGTTTCCATTGCCAAAAAAATAAAAAAATAAATCGGCCAACAACCTAGAAAATGAATGGCTGAGGTGGCATGAAAGTGGGGAAATGAATTACCTAGAAAAAAAAACCTGTCAAACATGCATTTTTGGTTTACGGTGGAAATCAATTTCCATTTCCATGGAAAAGGGGCTTATCAAAAGCCCCTAACTTACAATTTTAAAGGCTGGAAAATACTTGTTCTTTTTTTTTTTTGGCAAATTATCAACTTATCCTTAGTGTGTTTTTGGGCTCAACTAGTGGACGATGATGAGGGTTATGATTCTCCAACCATAATATATATGGAACTCGAATACATGGGAAGGGGGCAGGAGCCTAACCTTCAACAAGGTAGCAAAAGTAATGGAAACAGTAAATGAGGAGGTACTACCTCCCTTACAAGGGTAAAGAAGCAAAAGTAAACTATTGCCCTCTTAACACTAGGAATGCCATAATCGTCAATCCATACTAGGGTGTGTAATCATCGGGAAAGGTCTAGGAGTTCGAACTTGAACTCTTAGAACTGGTGTTGTTCCCAACCTAAAGTAACAAGTTAGCTACCTGATTGTCGTCAAAGTATATGTTGGAAATTTATGTTTTGATCAAATGAAAGATGATGTCTAATATGTATGAGAGCACCCTGTATGGACCATGGCGTGGTTCCATGAATGATGTAGTAAATAGCTAAAGAGGAATATGTCTCTATCCACAAGTAAGAAAGTCTAAGTCCTCGAGCGAGAAGAATCCCGTCTAGAATAGCTCATAATTTAGCTTCAAGAATAGGGCAATCACCATACGAAGAAGAGAATGAGCTGATGCACCGTCGATCCTAGTCACGAATAATGTCTCCACCACTAAAAAATTCATCCTTGACGTAATCATCGATCCCATTGATACAGTGCGCCAACAAACTAAGATAGGGGGTGACAAGGAAAGAGGGGTCAAATAGATACCAAACAGTTTGGCGATGGCCAGATCCTTTTGCTTGTGGATATTTCGAAATAAACGACCTAGAAGAGAAATAGTGTGATACACCCTCCAAATGATACGACAAGGCACCATAGCAATATCCCTGTGCTTTGCATCATTCCTTGCAGTCCAGATAAACCAAAATATCAACAGAGGAAGGACAGCGCAAATGTGGACACATTGAACAAACTATCTCGAGTATCGCTATCTCTGAAGGCATTGATGAATTTCTTAACTCCTTTTAGAGGTATCTGGAATAAGTCAGCAAAGTGATGCCAAACCTAGTTCGATATACTAATCCCTATGAATAAGTGTGGAAATGTTTCAATCTTTGATAGCACTGGCAACGAGAGGCCAAGGACAACCAATCAGTCGTTGAATGGACACATTGACTGGTAATAGCCCTTGCCATGGTTACCAACACAAAAGGAGGCAATCTCGAATGAACAAGCTGCCATGCAGACTCGGTAGCAAATTTGCCATCTGGTGTGTCTTTTCACATATCCGATCAGGTACCTTGGAACATAGGGGTATTCTCCCTATGCTCTCAATCATAGTGGGTGGAAGCACCTGAAGTAAGTTGTCGAAATTCCATCCAGAGTCATTGAAGAAATCGTGAACCTGAATGGTGTGATGTTGATGAGGAAATAAGGATGCTAAGGTAGAATTACCAACCTATGCCAAAAGAATGTGTTCAGCGCCAAGAAGCCAAGCGATGTGTGACTCCACCATGGGCCAAATTGTTTTAAATATATCCATGTCGATGACGCTGAGTAAGGAATAGTAGCAAGAAGAGGGTGAGTGTCCGTGCAATATTTGTCCAAAATGAACTGAGCCCATAAAGATCATTGGATATGGAATAACCACTAAAGCTTTAGAGAGAAAGAATCGACAATGTCCAAAAGTCTCCTAAAGTCTAGTCCACCCTCATCAGTTAGTCTGCAAAGCTCCTTCCATCTCCTCTAATGTAGTCTGTGTGCATGATCCTTAGCCCCTGTTTGGGCTCCAATAAAATCAATTTTTGGGGAAAATACATTTTGGAATAGTGATTTTACAAAGAATGTGTGGTTAAAAAAAGGAAAAAGTTTTGGGTTTATGTATAATATTATTTTATTGAAAAATGTGTGATTAAAAATAAAAGAGAGAAAAATGCATTTTTAAAATAATGGACCCCAAACAAGGGCTTAGAGTCCCAGATGAATCTAGCAAAAATGCTCTTCAGCCTTGTGAGTATGGCTTTAGAAGGCTGCATAATATGAAGAAGATAAGTAGAATGGAGGATAAGACATACCTAAATAGTGTAACCAGTCTCCCTAAAATAAAAGTCTATGTGCGCATCTAGAGATTTTGTTCTTGACCTTTTTGATGAGGTTGTCATATAGGAAGATCCGGTTAGCCCCTTTGAATAAAGGAATGCCCATATAGGTTAATGGCTTTTGATGTTGGAATCCAGTCAAGTGCTCATGTCTTCTATTCTGGGCGGTGGATGCCTTACAAGGCAAAATGAGTCCACTCTTATCTTTGTTTGCCAACTGGCAAGTAATGCCCTCATAGTTTTCCAAGCAATTAAGCAGTCTCTGAATAGATCGTTTTGGGCGCCTTTGGTGAAAATAATTATGTCATCTACAAAGAACAGATGAGAAATAGGAGTGTAACCTCCATGTCTGCATCCCATGCTCGGATAAGTCTGGAACTGATGAGTGAGTAGTCCGCATTTCCCAAACAAAACAGAAAACGAATAAATGCATAAAGAAGCAAAAACATTATTATATACATGAGACGCTCGTGCTGATTTCAATTGTTTCTTTGACTTTATTATACACATAACAGAGTTCCTGATTTTTGAGTAATGCATGTTAAATATAAAGAACATTCAACTCTCTGAATATGTGCCTTTGTCTGCTACTGCCACTAAAAATGTTCTATGTGAGGATCTTACCTGCTTTTTCTTCATTATAGCATCATCATTAACGAAAAGAAAACGTGGCAGTTTTGCTGTCTAAATGCACTTGCTTTTTTACTTTGCAAAGCAATTGAAAATATCCTGTATGATATTTTTATGTCACTTGAAATCCTTGATAGGTAGTTATGAAAGAATTCATAGAAAGAGGAAAAGAATAGAGTACCAGAGGGAAAAAGTTGAATGCACCTTACAATTAAAGGATCGGTGCATTAAAAGATCGGCAAAAAAATATAATATGAAATCATATATTTAATCCATTTGAATGCTTGTGCAAATTGAACCCTGAAGAAGTCCTTTTTTCTCAAGCGTCCTTATGTGCAATTTTCTGTCCTTCCCTTTACAGAAGTGACTTCTTAACAATTGCTACCACGCGCCCAGAGACTTTATTTGGGGATACGGCTATTGCAGTGAATCCTGAGGTACATTTGTTTGTTTCCCACTAATCTATACCGGGAAGTAATAGCTTTTTAGATGACCATGAATTATTTTTTTCTCTAACTTGTTTGTTGTCGTCATTTTTTCCTTGGGAAATGATTTATCTTATAATAAGGAAGTAAACACTTATTCTAATGCCAGGAGTTGCAAAAGGTTTTGTTGTTTAGTTGGTTTGAGTCTATCATTCAGACTTATATGCGATGTTGAAGACAATTTAAATAAATAAATTTGTCCAATTTGTCACATCTTAAGCTTTTAGATAAGATGGTTCATCATGGTGGATTATGTAAAGGTCCTGAGCTTAGGTCTCAGAACCAACCCTTATCAATAATTGTGCACGTATTAGGCCAGAAAGGAAACCAGCCTGCTTGAGAGGGGGCTCTTTGAAGAGAATTGCTTCAACATGTAGTAAAGGTTTGATAAATCTTATGCGGGGACAGCTATGGTGAAGGGGGGTGGCCATAGCTGTGTTGGGGTCTCATGAATTGAAGTAGGGAGGTGATTTGATTTGGAGGTGGATGTAGAGTATTGTGGGATTGAGTGTCAATGGCTTATTGGAATAATTTAGAAGAGAGGAAGGTTTCTGCCCAAAGACTTCCATGTGTTCATGAGATGGAATAGTTGGTCAGCGCTCCTAATTGTAACAGTCTGGAACCAGCGATGCCTTTTTATAAGAGTAGAAGAGAAGACAGGCCATGGGAATATAATCTTCAGAACGAGTGGCATAAGGAGCAGAGGAAATGCACTAAGTTTGTGACTTGTGCTTGAGGTGGATGCAAAGGAACTTCGGGGGTTGCCACACAGTTGAAGGTTTGTAGGTCTGGTTGTTCAACAATCTTCAGTGTGGGTAGGAGCTACAACAATTGTTATTTTGGTAAAGTTGGAGGCATTGCAAAGTTGTTTACTGATGTAGAAGAACATGGGCCTTCAAGATAAAATGAGGTATCATGCTAACAACATTCACTGGTATTTCAAGAGGAAACTGGCCATAGGTGGGTTTAGAAGATTGTTGAACAACCAGACATGTCTAATGGGTAAAAGAAGGGTAGTGAAACCAAATAGTTTGCGGTGAAATTAAGTGGATCACGTGAGTCTATAAATAGGTCTGTGAGTCAAGGTGATAAGTTATTTCAATCTCCCTGGATGCAATTTTGAGGCATGAAAGTGAGAAAAAGAGCTCATCAGTGGCTAATTGAAGAACGTGAAGAAGAAACCAGAGCCAGCTCTTGCTTAATTTTGTTTTATTTAACTGCATGATTTATTTTTACTATAATGCACTGGCAATTAAAAACTGGGCCAATGCCTGAAAAATTATCTTGTATTATAGAGTAACACGTGGGAAAATTTTCACAAAAGTCAACCTTTTTGTAAGGAAATAATGTCTAAAGGATATTGGAAAGTTGCCTTAATTACTGATGCTTTCGTACATTCTGTCCTTGCCCATTCCTTTAGTAGCATACTACCTTAAATTAACTTTGTTGATGCTTGTAATTTATCCAATCTTCTATACTAGCTTTTGGTGGTTCTAATAAGATAAGAGATAACATTTATTTTCCTGAATGGTTTCCATTGATATTTTCTTATTGCTGTTTCCTAGGACGAACGCTATTCTAAGTACATAGGGAAGCAGGCTATCGTCCCAATGACTTATGGCCGGCATGTACCCATTATTTCAGACAAGGTAAAACAGCTGTTGCCATGTTGATCATTCTCTCTGTTGACATCAACACAGTGCGGCCTTACATGTGGATTAGTATTTAGAAGTGTTGAATTCTCAAGGTGCAACAATATGGATTTATGATCTATCTATGCTTTTAAATGTTTGGCATACTGACATGTTCCTTGGTGGTGTTTGTTACAATTGTTCTCAATTGTTGTAGAGCAATTTGACACTAGCCATTCATCATTTTTCCGTGGCCATAATTGATGATTTTCTACATGGTATATTTGCAAAAATGCAATTAAAACTCCAAATTTCATCTACTACCCATGCATTCACATAGACACATTCTTAGATTTTTAATCAAAGAACTGAGTATAAGATTTTGTTGTCTGTGGCATGTAATAGCTGGCGTCACAATTGCTGGGCCATTACTAGAAATGAGTGAAATGTTTTCAAAAATAAGACCTTGTTTTGATTTCTAAAAGCACCATGTTCTTTTGCTTCTGCTTTAACAACTTTGGAAACAAAATGCAAAAAGCAAAATAACAGGGTTTCCACACATCCATCAGGAGTAAACAGACATATAATAGTTGATTATTCTATGTGACTGTATGCTTTTAAATGTTTGGCATACTGACATGTTCCTTGGTGGTGTTTGTTACAGTTGTTCTCAATTGTTGTAGAGCAATTTGACACTAGCCATTCATCATTTTTCTGTGGCCATAATTGATGATTTTCTACATGGTATATTTGCAAAAATGCAATTAAAACTCCAAATTTCATCTACTACCCATGCATTCACATAGACACATTCTTAGATTTTTAATCAAAGAACTGAGTATAAGATTTTGTTGTCTGTGGCATGTAATAGCTGGCGTCACAATTGCTGGGCCATTACTAGAAATGAGTGAAATGTTTTCAAAAATAAGACCTTGTTTTGATTTCTAAAAGCACCATGTTCTTTTGCTTCTGCTTTAACAACTTTGGAAACAAAATGCAAAAAGCAAAATAACAGGGTTTCCACACATCCATCAGGAGTAAACAGACATATAATAGTTGATTATTCTATGTGACTGTGATCTTCATACGATTTCTTTTGTGTCAGGAAGAAAAGGCTCCAATACTGCATGCTTTATGCTTCTATACGTATAATATCCATTCGTCTCTTTCTTTTTATCAACTGTTGAGATTATTTTTATACATGTCTTGCTTATTCTGAATGGATATCCTATATCTAAATATACCACGTCTTGTTGATATGGAAGTATGTAGATAAAGACTTTGGAACTGGTGTCTTGAAGATAAGCCCTGGCCATGATCACAATGACTACCTTCTTGCACGGAAACTTGGTCTTCCCATTCTTAATGTGATGAATAAAGACGGGACACTTAATGAAGTTGCTGGATTATACTGGTATGGCTTAAAATTTTGGGATATCAAAAAACTGAAGACTGGTGAAGGATTCTATGTTCTGCCTAATGATTTATAATTGCACTAAAACAATCAGTGGTCTTGATCGGTTCGAGGCACGAAAGAAACTTTGGTCCGATCTTGAGGAGACAAGGTTGGCAGTTAAAAAGGAAGCCCACACTCTTAGAGTTCCCAGGTCCCAACGTGGTGGAGAAGTGCGATTTCTATTTCTTTACTTGTTCAAATTTTGATAATGAACTTTGCATAATGAAGTTTTTTGGTTGACCTTTTATCATAAGCATTTTTCTTCTTATTAGATAATAGAGCCTCTAGTAAGCAAGCAATGGTTTGTGACAATGGAGCCCTTGGCTGAGAAGGCCCTTCAAGCAGTTGACAAGGGAGAAATAACCGTCGTGCCTGAAAGATTTGAGAAGGTAAGGGCATTTAGGGATTTCTTTTACCCACTTCATTTGGGCTCTTTTGACTTCCTTTAGTCTTTCCTATTAGTGCAATGTATGTCTTTATTTTATATTTATCTAGCTTCTGAAGCTTAATATTTTGTGGTTATTGCCTCAACATTAAAGTTGGGCATTCCTTCGGCAAATTCTTGAGCAGAGGGCTTGTTTATTACCAAGTACTAGACCGTACTATGAATAAAATTTAAACGTTTTCTTTTCATGTTGTCTGCTGTTGTCAAATTCACCTTAGTAGACATGCCATTAATGTCGTCTTATACAGTTTTTTTACACAATTGGTTTTTCGCAAATTGTCTATCTTTAGTTTTTTGAAAGAGCCCACAGATTCCTATTTCCCTAACATGTTTACGCTTGATCTTAGATATATAATCACTGGCTATCAAATATCAAGGATTGGTGTATAAGCAGACAACTATGGTGGGGACACCGCATACCAGTTTGGTACATTGTGGGCAAAGACTGTGAAGAGGAATACATAGTTGCTAGGAGCACAGAAGAAGCTATTGAAAAAGCTCACAAGAAGTATGGGAAAAATGTTGAAATATATCAGGATCCAGATGTTCTTGACACCTGGTTTTCAAGGTTTGTTGCTTCAAATATGGATTCAGATTCTTCTTTCCATCTTCGAATATCACGTTTTTTTTTTTTTTTTTTTACACTTTTTACCTTCTTTTTGCTGTACTTCATAAAGAATTTTGTCTTGGAAAATCATGTGGAAACATTCGATATATAATACACACTGACATTATTCTTTGAACTTCTGTTGGAAACACTTTCAATGGTTGTTATTCTTGGTTACCATGAGATAGAACACCATTAGCTGTCAAAATGTTCGGGGATTATACTACCATGTGATGAACATTATTTATTATCAAGTAATAAATTATTTAGTTTGTATTGCAGAAGCTGGAATGACCAGCTATTTAGGTTTGTAGTTGTGTTATGTATGGTTTTAGCGAATTAGAACTTTTTGTACAATTAATGGAAAAAGTTTAGCAGATGAAATGCAGTAGATCAGTTTATCACTAATACAAAGTTTAATCAAGCATCTACGAGTCTCTTATAAATATTAGGTTTCGAAAAAAAAAAGAAATTAGACTTGGCAGAAAAAATTAATAGTTCTTTATATGTAGGTAATGCTTTAGATCTCCTACCCAAGGAAATATTCTCATTTCTTGTCTCAATGCTGTTTCTCCATCCCATCATAGTGATTGCAGCGATTTCTAAATGTACAATTGGTTGATGATGTGGTGGTCTTTCAGAAATATCCTGGTGGGTTCGACTAAAAATCTTTCACTTCCAATGCCTTCCTGTTCCACATGGCTCTCTCAAACATTCTTGTATATTTCGCTACAAATGTTGGAAAGAGCTCTTTACACAGCACCCTTTATTGTGTAATGAAACTTCTATCGTCGTATGAAGTGTAAATAACCTGTCTTCTCTTTTTGAAGAAGCTCTCATGGTTTTATTAGAGTTGAAGAGCTGAATGCCAGGCATCTCCACTGTAGTAAGGCAGAAATGTTTATGGAATTGCTTGTGTTGGTTCTGTTCATGGTTGGCTGGAGCTTATTAATGCTTACCAAAAATAATCCATTTTGAGCTGGTTAGAGTGAAAAGGAGGAAAGAGTCTAACTATACATTGGGAATATGAAGAGCCAATGTGGGGATGTTGAACTCTCTAGAGATTTAAGTTGATTAAAGTTTAATTTTTATTTTCTTTCTTACCTCACTTTTGTTCTTCTGAAATTGGTTGGTTTTCATATGCCGATACAAAAAGTGGCTTGAATTTTTATCCAGATTTGGACTTTGACACCTGCATGCTTTCCTGTCCACATTATGGATCATAATATATGTTTGACCACAAAAATAATACTATTAAATCCATTCTATTTGATTTTTTGTCAGTGCTCTATGGCCTTTCAGCACTCTTGGTTGGCCAGATGTGTTGGCAGAGGATTTTAAGCGGTTCTATCCAACATCAGTTCTTGAAACTGGGTATTTTCTTTTTGACTCGTGCATTTTCCTATATATTCTTTATTTCTGAATATACTGCCATATTTGGAGCGCACTTTATGTACTTGAGGACAGAGCCCAGGTGCCTTTTTTGCCATTGAGAAAATCAATTAGGCACTTCAAGTGTCAATCACAGCATTAATGCATACTGTTGGACTAACATTAAGTTATGCTTGTCATTACCATCTCATTATATTTAACTCATTGGGAAGATGCGATGCATGAAGAAGAGTTATAATATTGGATATTCAAATACTGAAGTTTTTGGTGTTTGTCTTTAGGAATGGTGATGTAATTATGCCCTGCTTCTTCGCTGTAGCATGATGTCCTCTTTTTATTATTGTGGCTTAACTTATAATAAACACCAAGCTGCCTCATTTTGCTTAGCAATGACCTCTAGAAGCTCATGCCAATATTTACTGGTAACATAATTCGATTTCTACTCTTTTTTCAGAAATATTTTAGTAATTATTATGTAACTTTCTGTACATGGCATAAACTGGATGATTCTTAAGATTTTGGTTAAGAGGTGTTAAATGCTACAAGAAGTCAGGATCATTTATTTGGTACGAACAGGGAGAAGAGATCTTGAGGTCAAATTCATACGACACTATCCAAATCACGCTTCATCTTCATATAGTTCTTACTGATTTGATCTGAAAACTTCTTTGGCAGTAGAGTATTTGAATAAGGGAAGAGTTATCGCTGCAAGAAGGGATTCTTCCATCCTTTTTTCAACTACAACTAGAGTCTATGCTACCTGGTGCTCCATGTGGGGCTATTGCCCCATAACAAGTTAAGATTATTGGCCAAAGGAATTCTTTTAATTCCCACCTCTTGAAATAATAAGTGTGAAGTTTGCATTATATTAAGTTTTTTTATACCTGGGATAAAGTTTGTTATGAAATCTTTAATTCCCTTTCAAGCTGAGCTGCGCACACTTTCTGTCTTCTGTGAAACCAACCTGAATCCTTCAGGTTGTAAGGCAGACTCATTTAGTATAACTCCTTTGTTAATGCAAAACATCATTATTCTTTAGAAGAGATCTTTATGAAAGATTATGAAGTTAGTTGAGCGTGTTAAGATCTATAAAAGCTTTACTATTTGAACAGGCATGACATATTGTTCTTCTGGGTGGCACGAATGGTAATGATGGGAATTGAATTCACCGGGACAGTTCCATTTTCAAATATTTATCTTCATGGACTTATCCGAGATTCTCAAGTGAGTAGATTATATTTCAAGTGATGATGTTGCACTTGGTACCTATGTTTTTAATAAAAATAAAATTGAACAAACCTGTTTTCAAGTGCCGTAAGCATAGATGTTTGTATATGTGGCTATTTTCTCTTGCCAATAACACTTCTGTCTGCAAGCTTCTGTTTAGTGTTTGTATAGCAATTGATCAAAAGGTTTGCGTGCATATATTATAGTTTGTTTTAATTGGACATGTTTGTTGTTTATTTTGGTTTAAACTCAGGATTTGTTTAATATTCTTGATATCCATATTGCAATATGATATTGAAACAATGATTATTTTGTAATAATTTTTTGCTTTATCTACATGTAGTTTGAATTTTTTAATGATATCCTTGCAAAAGAAACAATGTGGCTAGAAATTTAGTTGAATAAAGTTCTGACCAACGGCAATTCAAACCAAGAGGTAAATAAGTGCATGTTTGGTTTAGTTTTATCTACTTTTTTTCTTGAATGTAAAAAACTTATATTTTGACAACAAGGGAAGCCTAACCGACGTAACACAGAAATAGGGAAGAGAAAGAGATGGCAGAAAATAGAAAATAATTTTGGGGAAGAAATAATTAATATTAAATCAATAATCAAGTCTAGTCACAAATGAAATCCTACGTCCTATTTATAAAGTAAAGAAACTTAAATTTAAATTAAATCTTGGTAAATAAATAAATCCTATATAATAAAACTATTTCATCTTATTCAAATCAAACTATATCTTCAACCTTGTCTTCTTCTATATCTTCTATCCTTATTCCCCATCACTAATGGTCAAAATAAGTAATTTACTGGTAAATATCCTTTACTGATTTAACAAAATTATTACAAATATATCCTATCCCTAATCTTAATATATATAATCTTAGAAAATTAATGCACATATTTTTAGAGTACTAATTTTAAAATAATTGTGTAGTTAATTTAAAATGTTCAAATATTATAATTTGATATTAACAATTTGGTAAAATATATCATCTGTAATTTGAAATAATAAATTCATAACATAATTTACAGCAGAAGTTCGAAGTCTACTAATGAGGTAACTAATATTGAAGTTTTGAGTTCCCTCTTGGAAGGATCTTAAATGACTGCCTGCCTGAACAGTCAATACATACAGGCATGTACTTGTATAAATATTTTTTTTTTCCACCCACCGTTGCAACTTGTACTGAATACTTTTATCACACAGTTATTTGTTCTTCTGTTCCTTGTATATAATATGATATCAGATTAATTGTGCTTGTATTTTTCAGGGTAGAAAAATGTCCAAAACATTAGGAAATGTCATAGATCCATTAGATACAATAAAAGAGTATGGAACTGATGCTCTGCGCTTCACTCTTTCTCTGGGAACTGCTGGTCAGGTTCGTGCTTCTTGAAAACATCTTGGTCCTTTATAGTGCTAACATTCTTGTTTTAGCTTAAAAAAAATTAGTAAATAAATTGTAATGTTAATTGTTGTTCAATGTTCATCTTTTTTGTTGCAGGATCTAAATTTATCAACTGAGAGGTTGACTTCTAACAAAGCATTCACCAACAAATTATGGAATGCTGGCAAGTTTTTGTTACAAAATTTGCCCAGTCAAAGTGATTTATCTGCTTGGGAAGCTATGCTGGCGTTTAAGGTCAGATAAAACTCTTGATTTTTCATTACTAATATCTTATAGATGATTGTTGCCCCAGACTTCTATAAGAAGCTACTTAAGTAGTGGAACTAAGAAGGAAATACGGTAGAAATTCACCTAATTGATAGAAAGAAGGAAGATATGACAAACAATTAATGACATACTAGGATAAGTGGACTCTGTTGAC